TCCCTCCAAAACAACCTCAGTGGATCTCTCTCCCACTGCAACTCTCTCGTAATCTCTTCGGCCTTGAAACTGCTCGACCACGTCCTGAAGCAAACCAGGTACTCCAGCCACATCACCTTTCTTAGTACCTGCCTGCAGAACCAGGCATTTCTGAAGAAGGGTCTAGGCCCGAAACGTCAGCCTTCCTGCTCCTCTGATGCTGCTTTGCTTGCTGTGTTCATCTAGCTCTACACCCTGTCATCTCAGATTCTCCAGCATCTGCAGTTCCTGCTATCTCTGCGAGTTTGATTAGACAGGCTGTGGACAATATTTGTTCACTAGTATATTAAAATGGTTTCAGACAGGAACCGTCCAACTTTTATCAAGGTATTTTCTATTTTGCAATGTGCACAACGTGAAACAAGTCCTCCTGGCTCAGAAGTAGGGTCAGTATGTTGGAAGAAGGCTTTAAACTTACTGGTTGAGTTAAGGAATTTTTAATCAACTTGTTAGGGATATTATGACACATCTCTGGAGCTGCTAGGATTTAAGTCTTGGCCTTCTGACTCAGGGATACAGGCACTACAACTACACCACAATAACCTCCACTGGTCGAGTCAATTTCTTCTATTAGCCTATTTCTCTCATCAACTTGCTCAGAGATGTTATTGTACATGTTTGGAGCAGGTGAGACTTGAACCCAGGCCTCCAATGTCCAGGGTTGGAACACTACCGTCGCACCACAAGACGGCACTGGTTGAGTCAACCTATTTTGCTAATCAACCTATTCAGAGATGTTGTTACACATCTCTGGAGCAGGTGGGACTTGAACCCGGGTCTCCTGGTCCATGGGTAGGAACGCTACTACTGGATCACAAGAGTGCACTGGTTGAGTTAAATCTAAGTACACACACCACTTTCAACTAGCTATAAATTAAACCGTTAACATTCCAACAGCTTAACTAACCACACAGGCTAGCAACTCAAAGCCTCTAGCTCTAACTTCCAAACCTCAAGTTAATACAATGATTAACTATCAATTGGAAATCTTACTCCTACTAGCTGGAAATCTAGAATGAAGACAGAGCACCCACTACTCAAGAAATCAATAGTAGCTGTGAAAAAGAAAAATAGGTCACTGTATCGAATGAAACCCTTCTGCAAAACTAGAAAACAAAAGTGCTACTGCAGCTACCATATCCTGACCAGCGCAACCCTCCATGATATCACTGGATCATCAATTTTAGCCTTCTGTACCCTGGTTTTCTTCTTCCAACTATTGATGGCCAAGTTCCTTATCCAAGGTAGCTGGGCCCAAAAACTCTGAAATTTTCTCATTAAAAATCTCTGCCTCCCTCTCCTTCCTTATGACACGATTGAAAACCTACTAGCTTTAGGCCCGCTGTCTTAATATCTCAAGTGCCTCAATGTCAAACTCTGCCTGGTAAACTCTTATGCAGCACTGTGAGACACTCTGCTGCCTTAAAGGTGCAACATAAATTCAAGCCATTACATTGGGGAGAAGAAAGGTGAGGTCAAATATTTAATATCATCCATAAATTACTGGTTCTTTCCTTAAGCAGATTGCTGGTCAGGTGGCTCAAGTACATGTTTCTTGCAAACACTCTTTCTGTCAACATTCTAAAATGTTAATTCTACAGATGCTGACAAATGTTGTTACATTTTTTACAGAATTCAGAAGCCATATGAACTATTTATTTCCCCTCAAAGTGGAGGAAACAGGACAACAACGATCATTAGTTGGAGCTACTCATCACAAAATCAATCATACAGTGAGTGACCTTACCCGAGCTCGGAGATAGCCTAGATTCGAGTTAAAGAGTGTAAATACATAATTCTGAAGCATCAATTCCATTTGGCCCTTGTACATGTTTTTCTGTTGGTATAAACAGAAATTAAGCATTAGTTCAGTAGACGAAGCAAGAAGAAAATAAAATGCACAATATGGGGAGGTAACTGTCAAAATAATATTAAAATAAGCTAGATGTGCTTGGAACGGTGAGCTAGATAGTGCCTTTTTCTTTATTCATGGGACATGGGTGTCACCAATAAGGCAAGCATCTGATGACCATCCCTTGCATTCTTCAATCACTTTAGTATATTTGGGAACATACAGAGTGCTATTAGGTAGGGAGTTAAAGGATTTTGACCCGGTGACACTGAAACAATCAAAGTATAGTTCTGGATCAGGATACTGTGCAGTTTGGAGGAGACCGTCCAGATGGTGGCAATCCCATGTACCTGCTATCTTTGTCCTTGTAAGTGTTCATAGAGCCATCACAGAATCCTTACAGTGTGGAAACAGGCCCTTTGGCCCAACAAGTTCACACCGACCCACAGTGCATCCCACCGAGACCCATTCCCCTATAACCCTCCTAATCTACACATCCCTGAACATTAAGGGCAATTTAGCATGGCCAATCCACCCCAACCTGCACATTTTTGGACTGTGGGAGGAAACCAGAGCACCCGGAGAAAACTCACGCAGACACGGGGAGAATGTGCAAACTCCATACAGACAGTCACCCAAGGGTGGAATCGAACCTGGATCCTTGGCGCCGTGAGGCAGCAGTGCTAACCACTGAGCCACTGTGCTGCCCACTTGAGCCACCATGCTGCCCACTGGTAGAGGTCATGGGTTTAGGAGGTGCTACTGAAAAAGACTTGGTGAATTGTAAAGGTGCATCTTGCAGATGGCACATACATCAGCCATGATGTGTCTGCGTTTAGGTGAATGAGGTACTGATCAAGTGAGTATACTACCCTGGATGCACTGAGCTTCTTAAGTGTTGTTGGAGCTGCACATACCCAGCCAAGTGGAGAGTATTCCATCATATACCTGATTTGTGCTTTGAAGATGATGGAAAAGCTTTGAAAGGTCATGAGGCAAATGGCTCACTGCAGAATTTCCAGCCTCTGACCTGCTTTTGTCGCCATAACATTTATATGGCTATTCAGCTAAATTCTTGACAATGGCAAATCCCAGGATGTTGATGTGGAGGGAATTTGGTGACAGGAATTCCATTGCAAAGCAACAAAAGGTGGTTAGACTTTCTCTTCTTGAGTTGACCAAAACCTAGTATTTAGGTGATTCAAGGATTACTTATAACTTTATTATCCAAGCTTGAATGTTGTTCAAGTCTTGCTGCATGCACGCATGGACTGTTTCAATATCTGAGGCTTTGTGGATGTCCTGCAGCTGATGTGATTAGTTTCCCACAACCATTTTCCTTCATGCTAAATCTGATTCTGGTCTGTGCAGAACTTTCCCAGATTCTGAATGACTTCAATTTCATTGAGGCTCTTTGACCTCAAACATCTGTAATGTGGGTTCAAAACCAACTCAGTTGAGGGCCTGGAAATTTTTGTTGGCTTGAAAAGGTTCTACCTGATATGATCCCACATGGCAAAGTTAACTCCAATATACATTAGTGTGGTGGAAACACAGTTTCTTTTATGGGAGATGTGTGCAGAAGGAAGTGCTCGACCAAATTTGAGGCTGAAACAAGAACTGCAGGGCACAGTGTAAGATTTTTTTTACATAGCGAACAGTGTTGTTCTTAGTCTTTGCTGCTTGATGTTAATCATGTTCAAATGTTATGTTTGAAATGTAAAAAGTGCAGTTCAGGTCAAAGTAGAATTTGTACTAAGGGAAGCAGTATCCTTTCTGAATTTAAGATGTCTTTATTGTTTTGTCAAGATCCACTGGTGACCTTTAGTGACAGGATATTACCAATACATGTGCTTGTCCAAAACAGGTCTGCTCTTTCAGAAATGTAAAACTATAGAGATGAAAAAGTACCCATTTTCTATTGTGGGCCATGAGGATTTATAAACTCATAGAATGTTAAGTACACTTATTGTGGTTGAGCTATGTGCTGGATGTGTCTGGCATTTCTTGATACTCCACATTCAGATTCTACTTCAGAGCAAGTATTAGCAATTTTTGAAAACAGATTATCTACGTTTTCCTTCCTCCCTTTTTTGTCTGAAAATGCTTACTTTTATGAGGGAGCCCTCAGCAGAATGATGAATCCACTTGCATGAACCTAGACAATGAATGCCATCAAGCTATTCTCAGAGACAAGAGCAGCAAAGACCAGTCCAATCTGTTCAAAATGTAAGCATGTCCTCTGCAGACGTCATTAAAATCGTGCAAATCAAATGATGGATATTCAGCCTATTGTGCCTCTGTCAACTCTGAAAGAGTTATCCATTAGTCCAATTCCCAGATCCCTCTTCAGATCCTTGCAAAGTGCTGGATTTCTCCTCCCCAATTGCGGAGCCCAACTATTTCCCAGCAAAAATCACCTAACACAGCACAGACTAGACTTCAAATGTACAAGCTTCTGATTCCTTCAGCTCAGCTTTATACTGACAAAACTATCCAGGTGAGATTGACACAAATATCTTTATTCATCAACCTACTTTCAGCAGAATATCTGCCAGGGAACCGATTACATGCAGTGCTCCATCCTTCTTGCGAGGATCACCACTTGGGTCTGTCAAGATCTGGTAACAAAAGCTCATCATCTTTGGCAAAACCTACAAAAGTCAAGTCAGTTCAAAGTGACAAAACAGTGGAATTAGGATGAATGATTTTAAAAAGAAAGTTCGCAATACAGACAATTAAATATTTCAAGTTAATGTTTACTGTTTTCAACTAATTTATAGAGGGATCTACATTAGTCAAGACGGGAAATAACTGGGCATTGAACTTGAAACTTGTATCAGGCTTTAGGGTCTGGTCAGTCATACAGCATGAAAACAGACCCTTTGGCCCAACCTATCTAGGTTTCCTAAACTGAACTCGTTCTATTCACCTGCATTTGGCCCATATCCCTTGAAACTTTTCGAATCCATGCACCTGTCCAAATGCCTTTGAAATGTTGTAATTGTACTCACTTCCACCACTTCCTCTGGCAGCTCGTTTCATACATGCGCCACCCTCTGTATGAAAAACTTGCACCACAGGTCCCTTTTAAATCTTTCCCCTCTCACCTTAAACATATTCCCTCTACTTTTGGCCTCCCCTACTCTAGGGAAAAGACCTTGGCTATTCACCTGATCTATGCTCCTCATGATTTTATAAACCTCCATAAGGTCACTCTTCAGTTTCCTTTGCTCCAGCGAAGTCCCAGCCTAATAACTCAAATCTTTCAGTCTTGGTGACATCCTTGTAAATCTTTTTTACACCCTTTCCAGTTTAATAACATCCTTCCGATAGCAGGACGACCAAAACTGTTCGCAGTACTCCAAATGTGGCCTTAATGTCTTGTACAGCCATTACATGACAGAGCAAGCTCCTGTATTCAATGCTCTGACCGATGAAGGCAAGCATGCTGAATGTCTTCTTCACCACTGTATGCCTGTGATGCCACTTTCAAGGAACTATGTCCCTGAACTCCTAGATCCCTCTGTTCAATAACACTCCCCAGAGCCCATTAACTGTCTGAGTCCTGCCTGGTTTGTCTTATCAAATGCAACATCTTCTTCACTATCCACTATACCACCAATTTTGGTGTCATCAGCAAACTTACTAACCATGCCTCCTATATTCTCATCCAAATAGTTTATATAAATGATGGAAAACAGTGGATCCAGCACCGATCCTTGTGGCACAACGCTGGTCAGAAGCCTCCAACTCTACCACGATCCTCTGTCTCTTACTGTCAAGCCAATTTTGTTTCCAACGGGTTAGCTCTCCCTGGATCCCACGTGCTCCAATTTTACTAACCAGTATACCATGCAGAACCTTGTCGAAGGCCTTGCTAAAGTCCATGTAGACAACGTCTACTGCTCTGCCTTCATTTATCTTCTTGATCACCTCTTCAAAAAACTCATTCAAGCTCGTCATACAGGATTCCCATGCACAAAGCCGTGCTGAGTATCCCTAATCAGTCTTTGCCTTTCCAAATGCATGTAGATCCTGTCTCTCAGAATCCCTCCAACAATTTACCCACCGCTAATGTAGGGGTCACCAGTATGTAGTTCCCTGGTTTTTCCTTGCAACCTTTCTTAAATAATGGCACAACAATTTCCTACCTCCAGTCTTCCAGCACCTCACCCGTGGCTATCGATGATACAAATATCTCTGTTAGGGGCCCGCAATTTCTTCCCTAGTTTCCCACAATGTCCTGGGATACACTTGATCAGGTTCTGGGGATTTATCTACCTTTATGCCTTTTAAGACCTCCAGTACCTTCACTTCTGTAAGGTAGACTCTTTTTAAATCATCATTATTTAATTCCCCAAGTTCCCTAGCTTCCATGTCTTTCTCCACAGCAAATACTGACGCAAAAGTGATTCAACGATCTCCTTTGGTTCCACCCATAGACAGCCTTGTTGATCATTAAGGGGCCCCATTCTCTCCCTAGTTTGCTCTTTTGCCCTTAATATACTTGTAGAATCTATTGAGATTATCCTTAACCTTATCTGCCAAAGGTATCTCATGTCCCCTTTTTGACCTCCTGACTTCTCTCTTAAGTGTACTCCTACACTGGCTACACTCCTCAATGGATTCACCTGGTCCCAGCCGTCTAAGCTTGGCATATGCCTCCTCCTTTTTCTTGACCAGAGCCTCAATATGTCTAGTCATCCAGTGTTCCCTACTCCTGGCAGCTTTGCCCTTCATACTCGAAGGAACATGCTGTCCTTGAATTCTCGGTATCTCACTTTTGAAAGCCTTCCAATTGACAGACACCCCCTTGCCTGCCAACAGCCTCCCCCAACCAACTTTTAAAATTTCGTCGCTCATGCCATCAAAATTGGCCTTTGCCCCAATTTAGCCCTTTAACTTGTGGATCAGATCTATTCTTTTCCATAACTATTTTAAAATTAATAGAATTATGGTCACTAGTCCCAAAGTGCACCCCCACTTGCCCTGCCTTACTTCCCAAGACGAGGTCGAGTTATACCCCTTCTCTAGTAGGGCCATCTATATATTGATTGAAAAAGTTTTCTTGAACACACTTAACAGATTCCTTCCCATCCAAGCCCTTAACACCATGGCAGTCCCAGTCTATGCTTGGAAAGTTAAAATCCCCTATTTGGACCCTGTTATTCTTACAACTATCTGCAATCTCCCTTCATATTTGGTCCTCAATTTTCTGCTGACCATTGAGGGGCCTGTAATGCAATCCCATCAAAATGATCACCACCTTCTTATTTCTCAGTTCCACCCATAAAGCTTCACTGAACGATCCCCCAGGAATATCCTAAGTACTGCTGTGATGTTTTCCCTAATCAAAAACACCACTCCCCTCCTCTCGTGCCTCCCCTTCTACGCTTCCTACAGCATCTATACCGCGGAACATTGAGCTGCCAAACCTGTCTCTGCCTCAGCCTTGTTTCTGCAATAGCTATGATATCTCAGTCTGGTGCAGTTGATCTGTAAGCATTACACAACATTTCCTTGTCAGCAGCATGCAAAAACTTGATACTTGCTTCAGGAGGTACAATCCCTCTTCTCCACAGAGAAGGATTTCCTCCAACAGTCCAGAGCCAGCAAATTTGGTACAGCAAACTCATAGATAGCCTGTGCTCAATCTTTTACCATGCCTCTCTGTGCCCACCACATGGTGACAGGAAAGTCTGCTCCAGAACTGGCTTTTACGTGTGAAGCACTTGACCTCCACTCCATATGCAACAGACCCCAGGCCACAGGATCACAAATAAAATTCTAAGGCACAGCAAGTTGATGAAACAATTCGTCACCGAGGTTTTGATGCATTGATAAATTATTTTAAAAAGGTTCTTAAAATCTTGTATATTGTGACACAAGTTCCAGATGGAATGAAGATGATGGGAAGATGATTTCTTCATCAACCCTGGGATTGATTTTGAATACACATTTCTGTGCAACATTCCTCCACTCATTGTATTTTACTGGAGAATTCATCACACTTATTTAAGGAATCTTTGCTGCCGTTCTGGTCACGAGTTGTGTTTGTAGTTCTTGAAGGGTTTGCTTAAAGAATCTCTTTGCTAACAAAATCAGCTGTTTTTAGTAGTGCATCGCTTAAATTGTTGAGTTTGCTGAATAAACAGATTTTGTTGCACTAACTCTCTCTTCACCTCCAACTACTTCCACCAATATTGTGAGGTCAAGGCTCAATTCTTGTTTTAAAAAGAAAGGTGAGTCAGATATCGCTGTAGTCGCATCATTCTGATTGTATCTCAACCGTGCTCACTATTATTAATTTGGAGAAAGCCCTACAAGTTGTGATCCTCCTCAAATTTATACCACTCGGCTGTTAACAATGCCAAAACTGTAAAAAGCATCTTCTTGCTGTGAGGCTCCTCTTTCAACTTAATACCTAATGGGAAATTGGTGTTTTTGACATTACTACCAATTATCTGAACCTCAGGTCTTTCAAGTTGGTAATTAATGTTGTAAAGGACTTGATTAATGGTGTGGTTTATGGTCCTGACATAATCATCAACCTGGAGGCCCAGCCACTGCAGCAATGGTACTAACTTACATAAAATAGCCAAAAGTCGTGTACAACTTTCCAGACCTCAAAGCCAATGTTGTTTTCAGCATCAGAAGGGTGCTAAAAGCTTCAAGCTGCAGTTCAAGGACATTATAGTTTAACAGTTACAGAACTGAATCCCATTTGACACAGAAGTGGTATCTCACCTCCTTTCTTTTCTTTGCAGCAGTGTAAAGGAAGTTCTGGGCTGCAATGGTTGGAGAGACATGGTCCTCGAATACATCTGAAAAATATTTCAACAATCTACAAATAAATGCAACTGCATTTTTCACATACACTAATAAACAACGACCATTGCACTGCCTAAAGTGATACATGCAGCAACTACAGCTGATTTTAATTATGTTGATTTCACAATTGAATAAAATTATTTTTTGGCTGAGACAATATAGAGGAAATAGAAATCATTGTCAGGTTCTCTCTGCTTTTAGAAATATACTAGAAAATCGATAGCACAATCAAATCCAAGGATATTTGTGCAGACCTTACCAAATTTCATTCGAATGTATTCGTACGGATCCTCCTGCCATAGCTCCTCATCTTCATCTTTGTAACACATCAACGGGAAGGCTACTTCTTCAGAAATGCTCTGTATCAATAAGGGTTTGTTCAGGGTAGGATAGCAGGGGTTGGGAGGGCAGGAAGGAGTGCAAACGATAGTGGTACATGGGGAGCAAGAACGTCAGAAAAAAGTAACAGCTTCAGACACTTGTATTCATTTATCCAAATTCCTTAATCCAAAATTATCCAGTAGAATATGGTCTGCAAATAGTAATAAAATAGGGAATAGATTGATGAAGAAAACACACAAGAACAGAGCAGTACATCATTTCTGTCCTATTTTGCTAGCATCATAAATGATCATTCTCATGCTGTAAAGGAACTGTAATGCAACAAGCTTCATCACTTTAGTACAATAATCCAATGAGAATGGAACAATTAAAACGTGTTTATGAAGAAATACCAAGGTCCAACCATGATATTCCTGTGATGCAACTGCATAACCAGAGGATTCCATTAGCCCTCTCATCAATCCTTCACCTAAGCATTTCACTCACTTTGTCTAACCTCTAATCCTCTGGGTCCACTCAAGCTCGGCTCCTTTTGTCAAATATATTGCTGGTTCCCACTTGACCTAAGTATTAAAGCTTCCTTCCCTTCCATTCCAACGCCGATTGTGTGAACACCAAGCCAGCCCTAGTTCATCACTCCTGTGCATTCAAAGAAGCAGCACAGTGGAGTCCATAATCTGGTCACAAACAATCCCAGCTGTTGTGACACAGGGATAGCAAGCCAAATTAAATCAGCCTCACAATCACCAAACTCACAACACAGTGAAATAGCACACTCAAAATTGCTCAATTATCGCTAACCAGACTTTACAAATAATAGATCCTAGACACCAAGATTATAACTTAAATGAAAAGTAATAAGTTGTTATTGTTCACAATATATTCATGTTGTTCATTTAAGTCCAATATTCCTGTCTGAGCCTAGGAAACAACAGAATTGCTTTTGAGTTCCTGTCAACACCACTCTTGCAAGCATCTACCAGGAAGAATTCAGGATGACTGACAGCATCCCTGTTTAAGAAGGGCAGGAGGCAGAAGATGGGAAATTATAGCTGGTTAGCCTGACCTCAGACATTGGTAAGATTTTGGAGTCTATTATTGAGGATGAGACTGAGGAGTACTGAAAGTGCATGGTAAAGGCCTAGTGGTATTATCACCAGACTATTAATCCGGAAACCCAGCTAATATTTTGAGGACCCAGGTTCGAATTCCAGAATTTGAATTTAATAAAAAATATTTGGAATTAAGAATTTACTATGAAACCACTGTTGATTGTCCAAAAAAAAACTCTATCTGACTCACTTATGTCCTTCAAGGAAGGAAATCTGCTATCCTCACCTGATCTGGCCTACATGTGACTCCAGACCCACAGCAGTGTGGTTGACTCTTAAATGCCCTCTGAACAATTAGGAATGGGCAATGAATGTTGGCCTAGCCCGCAATGCCCACATCCTGTGAAAGAATTTAAAGAAAAATAGGGCTGAATCAGCATGGCTTCATGAAGGATAAGTCATGCCTGATATATCTGTTAGAATTCTTTGAGAGGTAATGAACAAGTTTGACAAAGTAGAGCCAGTGGACGTGATCTATTTGAATTTCCACAAGTTGCTGCACAGAAAGTTGTTAAATAAGATGAGCCCATAGTGTTAGCGACAGGTACTGGCATGGATAGAGGATTGGCTGACTGGCAGAAGGCAGAGAGTTTTTCAGGATGGCAGCTGGTGACTAGGGGAATTTCGGAGGGGTCAGTGTTGGGACCACAACTATTCACGTATATATTAACAATCTGCACAAGGGAAGTGATGGCATTGTTACTAAATTTGCAGATGACAAAAAATAGTTGGAGGGACAATACTTTTGAGGAACCAGGGAAGCTGTAGAAGGACTTGAACAGGCTAGGAGAGTGGGCAAAGAGGTGATAGATGGAATACAATGTGAGCAAGTGTGAGGTTATGCACTTTGGTGTGAAGAATAGAGGCATAGACCATTTTCTAAATGGGAAAACGCTTCAGAAATCTGAAGCACAAAAGGGACTTCGGAGTCTAGTTCAGGATTCACTTAAGGTTAACATGCAGGCTCAGGTGGCAGTTCGGAAGTCAAATGTAATGTTAAAATTCATTTCAAGGGGACTAGAATACAATAACAAAGATGGGGAGAAGATGGCCCAGTGAAATTATCACTGGACATTTAATCCAGGAGACCCAAATAATGTCCTGGGAACCCGGGTTTGAATCCTGCCATGGCAGATGGTAGAACTTGAATTCAATGAAAACCTGGAATTATGAGTCTGACCATGAATCCATTGTTGATCGTCGGAAAAACCCATCTTGTTCACTAATGTTGGGAGTGGAAACTGCCATCCTCACCCGGTCTGACCTACATGTGGTTCCAGTCCCACAGCAACGTAGTGACTCTTAACTGCCCTCTGGGCAATTAGGAATGGGCAATAAATGCTGGCATAGCCAGCGATGCCCTCAGCCTGTGAATGCATAGAACAATAAAATGTACTGTTTAGGGTATATCAGACTCTGGTCTGACCACATTTGGAATATTGTGAGCAGTTTTGGGCTCTGTATCAAAGGAAGGATGTGCTGGCCTTGGAGGGAGTCCAGAGGAGCCTCACAAGAACGATCCCAGGAATGAAAGGCTTGTCATATGAGGAGCTGTGTCTGTCCTAGATAGAGTTTCGAAGGATGAAGGGGATCTCATTTAAGCTTACAGAACACTGACAAGCCTGGATAAATTGGTCATAGAGAAGAGACTAGGACTTGAGGGTACAGCCTCAGAGTGAAGGGCCAACCAGAGCGGAGATGAGGAGGAATTTCTTCAGCCAAAGCATGGTGAATCTGTGGAACTGATTGCTTCAAAAGGCTGTGGAGGCCAACTCATTGAGTGTCTTTAAGGCAGAGATTCTTGATTGGTATGGGGATCAAGGCAGGAAAATGGAGTTGGGAAACACATCAGTCAAAGTTGAATGGTGGAGCAGACTCGTTTGGCTAAATGGCCTAATTCTGCTCCTATATGTTGTATCTTATGGTCTGCAAGGCACCAGGTTCCGTACAGAGAGAATAAGCAGCTGAGTTATACCAGTAGTTTAATATCTGGTGTATTAAGTACTGATCAACAGTGAAGTTTGTTAGGTCAACATATCAGGAATAACTTGTGAGTGGCAGCATCCCTACCTCTGGGCCAGAAGGTCTGGATGCAAGTCACACCTGCTCCAAAGATACGATACATGTTTCAACTGGTTGATCAAAAATGTCTAAAACTGACCGGAACAACCTGCGGGTTTGGTGAATTCAGTTTAAGCATCATATCCACATGATTTCCCCTCATTAATTTCCTGCCATGTAAAGGTTACTTTAACCAATTGGGTTACGTAAAAGCCAAACAATTTTCATGGCTTATCTGTAGTTCAAAGAGAAGTTCAAATATATGAAAAGCTAGGCTACTTAACCAGAACATAACAAGCTCAATTTCCAATCTGATTTGTATCAGCTGATGTTAAATGGGGGTTCATCAAACCTTTAGCTGTCTTGGCCCTACATTCGAGAATCTCTTCCATAAAACCTTTCCTTCTCTCTCCACTCCTTTAAAACATAAAGCTTGACCAAGTATTTGGCTGCCTGCCCTAGTATTTTGTATTGTTCAATGTCAAATTTTATCTGATAACATTCCACTACTGCATTAAAAAGAAGTGTTATATAAACTCAAGTTGTTGAAGTGGAAGAGGTGAAACTGTAACAAGCCCAAGTGCACCTAGGCCAATGGAGAAAAAGAAAAATCTAAATTTGAGAGAAATACCCCAAAGGCAAAGGGACCAGATTTTCAGTAATGGTTGTCTCTTTCTTTACCAGCAAGTAACAACATTCAGATGTAACAAAATTAATAGCAAGCACAGACACAAGGCTCAAAATGTTGCTCACCTGAATGTGTGGCTTCATTTGTTTCCATGTGAGAGAGTGGTTGACACCTTGATTCAGGTAATTAAGGACTTGCTGCAGTACACGAGGTGCAACATACTGTTTCTGTCGGTACTGATCTACCAGCTTGAGTAGCACCTAGGACAAGAGAACATCACCGTTGAAGCACACCTCCCTACTAGACATAGGGCAAGCCAACATAGATGTCTTGCTTTCACCTTCACCAGAAACTCAGGCTTGGGTGATTGCTGAATTTTAAGCTTACTGTATGTACGGGTTTTCACATTTGAAATCTGAGATTTTGTTTTTGTTTAAAAAAAAAAAGCTACTCCTACCGGTGTCAAAAAATTACATAACTTTTTTTCTTCACTGGAAGCAAAACTAATTCCATACCAATTGAATTCAACCGATAACAGTTAATACTCATTACCTCAAATTTTGAGCAAGCAAATAAGTCATTTGTCTCATAAGCTCTCTGGCAATCTTTATGTTCCGTGAGTCTTCTCTACCCATCACTATATCTGTACATTCCTTTCTCCCTCATATCCTTAACTAGCTTTCCTTTAAATGCATTTATGGTATCTACCAGGGATATACATATTCCCTATAGCTACAAACTTCTAAAAGAAAAATAAGCAGACATTTAGGTCAGCGCCTTGCTCAAAGTCACTAAACCCGAATTATTGGGGACAGGACTGCGCCAAATCTTGGAGGAGCTGCCCAACACAATAACGTATATAAGTAAAGCCCTTGAATACATTTTCAGCTGAATGAGATGAAATAAGGGAGATCCAACAAATTCCGTGTGGATGACACTTCCAACATCCAATTACAAAGCTGGAATATGGAAAAAAAAAATCAGTGTTCAACTTGGCTTCCCAGTGAAAAAGATCTACAGTAACAGCTTCAGACAGCAGAAAAGTGGGATAAGGAAAACAAAAAGAAATGCACAACTAGGAGATGAACATTCAAACAACAATCATAGACTACAGGCATTTTCATCCCTCGTAGCTCTCACTCTACACACTGCAGCTCAGGCTCGTAGAAAATGGATGCACTGCAAATTAAATAGGCCTATGAACTTCCCACAAATACAATTCAAAATCAAGGGGAAAGGACTGTGGCCTAAAACCATTCTTATTTATATTACATTGATTTTCAGTTGGATAACTGATTGCATTCGAAAGTAGCTAAGTTTTTACTGCATTTAAGAACATTTCTTCAAATATTTTACACCTAATGCTTCCAATTATAAATTAAGCACATTGATTACTCGATTAGTTATTTATTCCAAACATTTTCTCTTAAGTCTACAAGTTTTTCCTGATATATAATCGAAATATAACATGCCTTTATTTCCAATCATTCTTTTATCTCCCTTTCTGATGAAAATAATTTCACCTGCATATCATTTAATATTTTGTGCACCAAATGAAGTCTTCACTATACTGCTAGTTTGCCAGGTTTGAAATTTAAACTTCTCTCATCTTTCCTGTTAGCTGATAGATAACTAGCTAAATGTAATGAATGAATGTAGACAGAATGTCTGAAACAGAAAACATACGAATTCCCATATGGCCTTGTAAATAAAGCCAGCGCTCAGTGTAATACTTGAATTACTTTGGTTCATGAGTGAGTCATGAGGTGTGACTTCATATTAAGAGCTGAACACAATATAAACTGACATATTAATTCAATACGGAAGGAGCACTGCACTGTTAGAACTGTGTTCCTTCTTGTAACATTAAAGTGAGACCTCACGTGTTTTGTTCCAGTGGAAATAAACAAAGTCCCGCTGTGCTATCTTCAAAATAAGGAGCTCTCTCTATGTTCTAGCCAACAATGACTACACAAATAACACCAGTAATACCATTAAAACAATTGAACTGATAACTTATATCTTTATTGGCATGAGATTGCTAGTGCAGCTGACATAACAACCATTGCTTTTCAAAAGGTGATTTGTCACTTTTGAGGCACAATTTTGGAAGTTAGACACACAGCAGATAATAATTAAGTAATCAGATGTGGACATAGAACCAACTTTACATAGTTGACATTGAACATCACAAAAAGGTCATTTCCAGACAATCATTATGCTCTTACCTGCTGAATGCCCACAGCATATGTTTTAAAAAAGAATTCTGAAAACTCATTATACTCTTTTGTTACATTTCCAGGACTTCCATATCTGTGGAGAAAGTGATTTGTAAAAAGCATAAACAAGTGTCATGGTCAAATTATAATAAAACAGATATCAATTTAAACAGGTAGCAATCTAAATGTAAATGTTTAACTTTTGGTTTAGCTTACAAGACAAAATCAGTGTAGTCTATAAATCTATTCAGTTCGTGAATTACATTCATAATGGAGAAGAGGAAAATGCAATGCAGCTTTGTCAATAGTTGCTTTGGAATTAATTGAGGTGCTGTTGCATAACAATTCTGCAAAACCCAAACCTTTCATCTCAAGACGAATAGAGCACATGTCAGGCTTTGAGACAATCTTTCAGCTTTATTACGATCTTCACCACCATCCTCTTTATCAATTCTGGATCAGAACCAGCACTGACCAACAACTTCTGCTGTGCTTCTTGTTCCCAAAGAGCCATGCGGTGGTCGCCAGTGTGGTGAAATGCCATGTATTTCACTGAGTTATGAATTCCATAATGCTCTGTTTTTCTCTGTGGAATAATTTTCCACCAAAAATCTTTCTTGATCCACAGGGAGGAGGCTTGTGTATGGCCTTTACTCAAGTCACTTTGTGGTCAAATACTGGAAGACATAAGTGGGAGTAACAGCAAACTGATTGCCTCTCAACCACAACAACTTGTGTGAATCATTTTGCCTCTGTTCAGCTGCTAGCCACAGCAACTTTTTGAGAGTGGGACCTCACTACATGGGGAATGCCTCCATTTCATCACCACTCGCTAGCAAATCTTACTCAGTTTCACCAAGACAACAAGGTGCAGGGCTGGACGAAC